TCTTCTCATTCTTCTACATCCCCAATACAGAGAGGGTTGCAAAATAACCCTTCCAAGATAACCAGACAAGTGTGAGGGACAGAAGGTGAAGGCTGATGTGAACAGATGTTAATGCTGCAGGTGAAGAGGGCTCAAGGAGAGCTGGAGAGGGACTTTGGACAAGGGCAGGGAGCGACAGGACAAGGAGGAATGGCTTCAAACTGACAAAGGGCAGGGTTAGATGGGACATTGGGAAGGAATTCTAAGCTATGAGAGTGATGAGGCCCTGGCACAGGTTGCCCAGAGAAGCTGTGGCTGCCCCATCCCTGGAAGTGTCCAAGGCCAGGTTGGATGGGGCTTGGAGCAATGTGGTCTATGGAAGTTGTCCCTACCCATGGCAGGGGGTGGAACAAGACGAGCTTTAAGGTCCCTTCCAAACTCAAACCCTTCTATAGGATTTTGGCTAAGGGTTCACACACAGGACCACAGAACTTCCTCTATGTGAATTCCAAAAGCAGAGGTTTGATGGGGTTTAGAAGCCAGGACTTGCCTGCCTGCTCTAGCTTAGTCTTTTTGAGGTGTGAATTTGAACTGTAATGGAAGCTGAAAAGCCGGGACCAGGCTCCCTGGCACAGCCCAGATGGAGCAGAATGACATCTGTGTGGGGTTCAGTCTTTCCCACAGGTGGACTCCTGCAAATGTTCCTATAGAGCTGCTGATTTTTTATACTAAATGCAGAGGGATGACCTTGCTCTTCTGGGTCAAGGATACCACAGGAATGGCCTCTGGACCTGAAAGATGTGATGTTGACAGGTGAAAAAGTAATGCTGTAGGAAGAGGACTATAATGGCTCATACACTGACCTTACATTTAGAAGTTTCATATTAAAGACCTGAAAAGTGAAACTTGCTGAACATATTCTTTCAGGATCCCCAAATCCCTTCATTTCCAATTAAAGCCCTCTATGTCCCTGATCTCTCTGCAAGTAATTGGTTTCTAAAAAAGGTACTTAGTGCTGTGAATGATATTGGTGCACATGCACAATGGCTTTGTAAGTAGTAGAATCATGGAATCACAGAATTATCAGGGTTGGAAAAGACCTTCAGGATCTTCAGGTCCAACCTTCAAGAGTTCCAGTCCATACAGAAATGAGATTTCCCCCTGATTTTGTACCTAAATCCAACTCATAGAATTTTTGTATGTGTGTGTCTTTTCTTTGCAAAGAGGAAATGTGAGAAAAAGCAGAAAGGCTCTCACAGGTGAATTATGAAAGAACAAGTCATTTCCCATTATTTATCACTCACAAGTTGCTTGTCTGTTCTTATTTCATGCCCAAATCTCTATGATCCAGCTGCTGAGCATCCATCTGTGCTTGTGACTTTGACATCCGCCACAAGCTTGAAAATATTTGGGTTAGGACTCCCAGATTTTCCTTGGTTAAGATAATATTTCACTGAAAAAAAATTGATATGAATCTCAGTCATCAACGTCCTGAGTAAGGGACTATCAACCAGACACACAGAAATCCTTCAGAGGTACCAGCATCTTTACTGTAGCTCCGTTGATTTCCCTGGAGTTACCTGAAACATAAATATGATTCCAAAGTATTGATGAGTGGGTTGGATCAGGAAAGTTTTCCAGGTCTCTGTAGGCCTGGAAAATATTACCTCTCTGTCCTGTATTGCATTTCCACTTGTACAGGTATGATTTGAGAGGAGCAGCACCGAGTCAGATTTATACCTGAGTTACATGGGCACAAGCAAGGGAAGGATTGGACAAACTGTGCCTAAATCTCTGATGGATTTGAGAACCTCCTCCAGAAGCTTAGGTAGCTTTTCTTTCTATCCTTAGCAACACAGTCCTGATTAACCCTCCGAGCTGTGGTCAGTCATTTTGAGGACAGTTTGATTGGCAGCAGGTAATTAATTAACCTGCTCATGCTTTTCCCTGCCTTGTACAGTGAGTTTGATCCTGTAGGTGCCTGGTTGGAAGTGTCACCTTTTTTTTTTTTTTAATTAATATTATGTTGATTTGTTTTTAATCTCTTGGATATTCCGTAAGAAAAAGCCACCTTGAGGAAAAAGGATGAAGTGTTTCAATGTAAGTACAAAATTATGCATTGAGACTCCCCTTATTTGTCTATTAAAGGATGTATTTGGGCAAGATGGGCATTTTTGTTGCCTTGGCTGATTAACAGTAGGATCCTTTTTCAATTCTGACACTTCAGATACATTATATTAAACTTCTCTGTGTGGGAACTGTTTATATTTCCTGCAAGGTTTTTGTGGAAGGCTCTTTATTGACATGATAAATGCAGATCTGATAGACTATCTAGCCTTGGGTAGGTAGCAAACTCTATCACCCAAAACATAAGTAATAATATTCCTTTACATTGCTGATCCCTTCCCAATCCTGTGAAATTATTATGAAAATTATTATTGGGAAAGTATGCTATGATTTGTCCTGTATTTATTTTTTTTTGGTACTTCTTACAATGTGATTTAACAGCTTGAAAAATGCAGAATAAATTCTTGGGAAGCAGATTTCTATCAACATATTGTGGATCAGTTTGTCCAGTGACTACAATCTGGATAATGGGTTTGTTTGGAAATTATGCTATTGGTGTCTGAAAGTTTTAATGTGGGACTTGTGCAGAAAAAGTTAACCCCACCTTTCTGAAAACTGTTGAAAAACTAGAGAAATGAGATATTTTTTCCCTGGAAGTGATGAGTTTGAGTGATGGATTGACCTTTAACTGGGAAATAAATAAGTGAATAATTGCTTGGTGAAATATGTGCGTGGAAAAAGTAATTCATGCTGAATTCTTTTTGTTGTCCATGGATGTAGAAGAAAAAAAAAAAGCAGGGATCTGTCAAAATAATAGTATTCCAAATGCTGCCTAATGTATTTTCCCTTTTAGCCAAGGTTTAACTTCCATTTATTACAGGAGGGGATTTGCTGTAATACAACATGCACCAATATTTCACTTCAAAGTTGCACAGTGAGAATATAAAGGTTTTGTTCTAAAATATGGAGAAAATCAACACTGACAGTTTTTTGAATGTTGCACCTCTGGAATCAATGACAAAATTCCTATTAATGACAGTGGGCAGCAAACTGATCCTCCAAAGAATAATTTGTGACTAAAATGACTATTGAAACTAGAACTTTATTCAGCTGCTTCAAGAGGAGTAACCAGGAGCAAACTGAAGGAAACCTGTCATTATAAATACATTTATTGTGTTCTAACTCATTTGCAAACATTAAAAAATCTCCTTTCTTGTGAGGGGTTTTTTAAAAGTCACCATGAAAAACCGAAATCAACTAAGAACATAATTTGGGAAGTAAACTGGATGTAGTTGTTTGTAGTCAGAACCATCTTCTGTCAGCTCCAATCCTACTCTGTTCCTTACTCACAATTCCAATGGCTTCCTGTCTATCTGTGAGCAGAGAGATGATCAGAATGTGACATCCCTAAGTGTCATTTTTAGAGTCTCCATTTAAGTTTGAGTACTTAACTCAGAGTAAACTGTGGGATCAGCATCAGTTGGGCTCATTACAACCAATATTTTAGCAGTTGTAAATAATATTAATATTTTTTTCCATGTCAAAATCAAAGTGTCTTCTTTTTTTCACATAGTAGTTCCATCTCATGTGAGGTCTGAATTTTTTAGTGTTGACTTTCAGAACAATGCCTAAGAAAGAGTCCAGTCCCTTCTCCACTTGCCTCCATCATGGCAAAGACATTAAAAGCACTTGTGTTCAAAAGTTGGGGTTCAACCAAACAGAAACAGCAAAGACAGTTTATCTTTAAAAGTGGAAGAAACCAACTGTTCCAACACAAATTGGGCAGAACCTTCTCCTCTCCTCTGTGCTTACCAATTGCAAATTTTCCCACTCATTAGCAGAACTGAGTTTTTTAAGTCCATTTGAGATCTTGTGATATTTCTTACAGTTATTTTTCTGCGCAACTGCTGTAAATTTTTCATGCAGAACTTACCTCGTGGCATGTCCACGTGCAGCTGTTCTAAAACCAGACTAACTCTGCCCATCAGGAAGCTCAGGACTGGTTTGTACTGCAAAGTGTAATCACTACATGAACAAATTCAGTTTTGGTTTGTTTTTTTGTTATGCTCCAGTTCATGGGGTTAAAGGGTTGCATGAGAATCTCAGCTCTCTGCTTGTAAAAATAAAGCTGAAATAATCACTGGCTCTGATAATTTCGGAGAAAACCTCAAAAGTATAAGCAAGGAAGACACAAAACTCCAAAGGACAACAATACACATCTTGTGGGTTTCTCCCGGGGTCTGACTCATGCTTTTTGTGCCTCGGGGGTGACTAACACTGACTGGATTCTCACTGGCATCTGCAGGACAGGCGTGATTTGACTGTGAGAAGCAGGGTTATGGCCTCTTCCTGCTGTGCTTCCTCATATCTACCTGAGCCATGACCACCATGTTGGTACAATGTGCTCTTGACCAAGCACAGGGAGTAAAATTGTCGTGAGGAGCACAAACCTTGCTCCCATGTTGGTCAGGAACTAATTCTGGTGAAGGGCCTTGAGGGGAAGCTGTGTGAGGATACTGAGGGCACTTGGTGTGTTCAGCTGGAGAAGGGGAGAGCTCACTGCAGTTACAACTTCCTTGGGAGGGGAAGAGGAGGGGCAGGCACTGAGCTCTGCTGTGCGGGGACCAGAGACAGAACCCAGGGAATGGACTGGAGTTGTGTCAGGGGAGGTTTAGGTTGGATAGTAGAAAAAAGTTCTTCTCCCAGAGGGTGGTTGGGCACTGAACAGGCTCCCCAGGGCAGCGGGCACAGCACTAAGGCTGCCAGAGCTCAAGGAGCATTTGGATGATAGTCTGAGGTACATGGTGTGACTCTTGGGGGTGGTCCTGTGCAGAGCTAAGGGTTGGACTGGATGATCCTTGTGGGTCCCTTCCAACTCTACCTATTCTGTGATTTTCTGTCTCAAACTCTACTCTGTTCTTTCTTCTCTTTGCAGTTACCTTTAAGCAAGAGGGATGTCTCAGGTGCCTGCTGACCTCCTGTCAACCACCAGCTCCTACAACTATGAGCCGCCCCTTCCCTCCGTGGCTCGGGCGAGTGCTCTCACCCAGGTACCTCCAGCCAAAAAAATAACCTTCTTCAAGAGTGGAGACCCTCAGTTTGCAGGAGTCAAGATGGCCATCAACCAGCGGAGCTTCAAGAGCTTCAATGCTCTCATGGATGACCTCTCCCATCGGGTCCCTCTGCCGTTTGGGGTGCGGACCATCACCACCCCACGAGGAATACACTGCATCAGTGAGCTGGACCAGCTGGAGGATGGAGGGTGCTACCTGTGCTCCGACAAGAAATACGTGAAGCCCATCGGCATCACTCCCGGGGGACACAGGCCAGCCCCTCCACGACACGCTCGGCCCTCCAGTACCATGAGAAGAGCAGCTCAGGAGAGCAAGCTGGAAGATTATTCCACACCCTTCACTCACCATGGCCCCAGAATACCCAAGAAAATCACTCTAGTTAAGAATGGGGAAAGTGGGTTTCGGCGCTCAATTATCCTGAACCGCAGGAACGCCCGGAGTTTCAAAACCCTCCTGGATGAGATTACGGAGATCCTGCAGTTCCCAGTGAAGAAACTCTACACCCTTGATGGGAAGAAGGTAAATATCTCTGATTCCTGGTGCTGGTCAGTTGTTCAAACAGGTGTTACCACATCAGCCTTTGCATTCCCTGGGATACAAATCCTTTAGCTCACGGGAGCAAGAATTTATCCTTCAGACTTTGTCTCATTAATTACTTCCCCCTTAATTGCACAGAAGTCTGATGTAGAAGAATCCTGTTCAGCTACTCAAGAATTTCATACAAAGTGTTGTTTTGGGTCAAAGGGAGGTTCAGATACTCAGCACTTTGCAGTGGGTATAAAACTCTAAATAAACTTCTATTAGTGGAGTTTCCCATGCTTTCCTAGGAGGCACATCCCAAAAAAAGGCTTAACTTTTCCATACCTGACCACTGGGAATTCAGCAGAGTAAGATGGCCCTTAGGTAGTACCTTGTGGTTACAGTGTCCCTCACACAACCCTCACAGGGTCCTGCTCATGACGTGGGATCTTCAACATTATGATAGGATAACTAATAAATGAATAATTAATTAGGGTAGGAGTGAGATCAGGAGACACATTTGTGATGATTTGGTGAATGTGCCAATTGGGGTGGACTCTTATAATAAAGTCAGGGCATGACAACTCCTTTGTTCTGCTGTTCTCAAAGGAATTTCCTAGCCAACCTGAGATTCTCCTGACTTCTCCATCTCTTTGCAACATAGACTAACCTTTACTTCCATATTTCTGAAGAGGTCTCACATGTTATCCAGCCTTGTCCCTGGCAATGCAGCAGAGTGGAGCAGTTATCCTACTCATTGCCACTTTTCCCATCCTTCCAGGGCCATGTGCCATCTCCTCAGTGGGAACAATGCAACCATTTGTGGTGTCACTTTCTGAGCCAGGTGACTGAAATGACTCGGGTTCAAATGCTCCACTATCCAGGAGAGGAAAAAAATGGAGGAATATTTTTAGCCCAAATCACTTTGACCTGGCACAAGGACAGGAATGTGCAGTAGGAAGGAGAGAGGGAGGGGATAATGAGGTTTAATCCATCCTTCCTGGTGGAGGCAACGTGCCACATCACTGCTATGCTCCCCACTCTGGAAAGAGCTTCCTATTCTCAGCTGGAGGACCCAAGGAAAATGTCCTTCCCAAATATCCTACTGCTATAGCTTTCCCAACTCTACTTGTCTAGAAGCTGAAAGAGTATCAGCCTGAGTTTGATGAGATGAAACCTCAAGGAAAGGATGGTGCTGCTCCACATGTGCCAGACAAGTGAAGCTGAAATATTACTGAGAATCTGAGACTTACAGAATCATAAAATATCCTGAGCTGGAAGGGACCCATCAGGATCATGGAGTCCAACTCCCAGCCCTGCACAGGACACCCCAAGAATCCCACCACATGCCTGAGAGTGTTGTCCAAATGCTTCTTGAACTCAGACAGGCTTGGGGCTGTGACAACTGCCCTGGGGAGCCCATTCCAGTGCTCAGGATTTATGAGAAAGGGCACAGGAGCAAAGGAAAAAACTCAGCTGTGGAAAACCTAAGCATGACCTGGGATAAACAAAACAGATACTTAATCTTAAATTTTTTGTCTTGCTTATGGACTTGTCTAAGTGCAAGATGAACAAGCTGACCAACCTACTGTAGGATTTATCTTTCCTGAGTGTGTTCAGAGCCCGTGTTTCTCCTAATGAGAGGAAAAAATGGTTTGATAATTGGATGGTAGACAAGATGAATCTTATGCCATAGACTGTTTCAGCAGGGTCTAGAGAGTAAGTCATATAAGGAGTGGTTGAAGTAGCTGGAGTTGTTTAGTCTGGGGGAAAATAGGATTGGGGTGGACCTTCTCACTCCCTGTAACTCCCTGACAGGAGGGTGGAACCGAGGGAGGGTCAGGCTCTGCTCCCAGGGAACAAGGGACAGGACAAGAAATCTCAAACTGCGCCAGGTGAGGTTCAAGTTGGACATCAGGAAGAATTTCATTATGGAGAGGGTGGTCAGTCTTTGGAAGGGGCTGCCCAGGGAGGTGGTGGAGTCCCCATCCCTGGAGGTGTCCAAGGAATGACTGGACATGGCACTCAGTGCTCTGGGCTGGGTGACAAAGTGGTGATGGGTCACAGGTTGGACTTGATGGGCCTGGAGGTCTTTTCCAACCTAAATTATTCTGTAACATGAAAAGAAAGAAACAGGCACTTTAGACAGCAACTTTCCAAGTAAGTGTCCAAATGATTGTGGGTATCTGGCGCTGGATTCATTTCAGGTTCAACCACCTGAAACAACACATCAGTGCCTAAATGCTTCTGTAAGTGAGGCTGAGCACCCACAGAGCTGTTCAGACTAAGCTGACAGTCCAGCAAGCTCAGAGCTGGCCAAAATAGGTGTCTACAGGCCTTCAGAATCACTGAGGTTCTTTTTTCCCAGCCTCCATCAAATTATTTACAAGGTGAAGTTTGCTGTGTACCACAACTATACCACTAAATTAAAAGTGTTAGAGCAGGATTTCATTCTTGACCCTCCATTCTGCTAAATTCTTCACATCTTCTCTGATTTGGTTCAGAGTAACAGTGTCTAAACAGCTTAGAATTAGGGCCTGGGACCATTCACTGTAGGTGGTTTGGATGTGCCCAGCCCATGTTTGAGCAGCCAAGCTCAAAAACCCAACCAAACCCAACCCTGCTACCAAGATGTTTTATAATCTATGAATAAGTATTTTAATTTGCCGCTGATTTCTCCAGTTTTCAAGACTTGGACGGTTCAGTCCACATAACTATGAATAATCATGTGTAGCGGTTGTAACTTTGCTTCCATTTCTATTACTTTTGAGAATTTTCACCTATTTCTCTAAAGAAAAGTTTTGCTTTCTACTTCTTAGTGCAGTCAATGTTCTCTTTGTGATTCTTAAAATAATTCCCTACAATTTTCCTTCTAATCACTATAAACACTGGTATTTTAAGTGGGATATGTATTAAACACACACTCTATAAACAGAATATCTTCAATATTATTCAACCTTCCTCTTTCTTTTCATCTAAAGACACTCAGATATCTTACATTTTCAGCTCTGCTGGTGGTCATCCTGTCTAAAGTTCTAGTATTACATTATATTATATAATCCTGGGATTATATTTTATAACCTTGGGATTCCTTTTTTCTAATATGAAAGTTTTCCTGGCTGACTTGTCAATAAGTGGTTGATCTTCTGTACCTTAATAATTTTATTTTCACTCCTTTTATTCCTTTTACATCTCAGTGATAGATAACTACGGGTCCAATCTGAACCATGTTATCCTCTTATATATATAGCCAGGAAATATGTGATTATTTTTATATTTCCTGAAGAACCTTTTACAGTGATTTTTTTGGCCATTCTTAAATTTCAATGATTTACCTCCAGGTTTTTAACTCTTTATTTCTGTTCATTTAATGGCCATTCTTATTAGGGCTTCCTGTTACTTTAGGCTTGGCTGCAAAGCATTTAAACCACCAAAAAAAAAGTCACTCTATCCTGATTTTCCAATCTTTTCCTTTCATACAGATTCTCCAAACCATTTCTGCTCTTTTTCCAAGTTTTCCTGGCATATCTCACCTTCGAGACTTCAATATCAAGCTCCTGACACACGATTGCTTGTGTCTGAGTTTTCCCCAGATGTAACAGTTTCATTGAGGAGTGAAAACAGTGAATTTGATGCACAGATTTGTGACATTTTCTGAAATAACCTCCTTCAACTAGTGCTGAGGTTCAATTTTAACTGTAAATCTTGCCATTATACTTCTATTTGCATCTGTTAGAGACTATGGAAACAAATCCCCCCCGTTCTTCCATGACTGTTGAAAGGTATCTGAGTGCTTCATATTTCTTGGGTATTTCCTTGTGTTTCTTGTATTATTCTCTTTGAATAATAATTCAAATAATTTTGTAAACTTCTTTTAATGCACATCTATGTAATTAGGATTGAGGGCAACAATAACTTTTGACATTTTTCCTATGTTTTGACAGATTAGCAGAATAACACTCATTCCTAAGCACCTGGACTACTGTTGATTGACTTTGTCTGGCCTAGAATAACACAATTCACAACATTTAATAGCATTTTCACAATGTCTCTGTTGCTGCCATTTTTTCCTTGATCTCTTGAAAACCAAACACAAAAAAAAAAAAAAAGAGAAAAATCTCCTGTCCTACAGGTGACTTAATCTATTCCAGATCTAAACTCAAATCTAAAATGAGTTAAATCTGTCCCAGTGGCTCTGCTTTAATATGCTCCATTTTAATATCTTTACTATTTTCTTGAGTAAATCCAGGGCACTTCAAAATTACAAGTCTTTATGAGGGTATAAATATAGACACCCATGGAATAGACTTGCTATTTTGTGTTCTTTTCATGCCTTATTGATTTGAAAAAGCAGAGAAAAGGGTTTTCTTCCTTTTGTAGTCTATCTAATCCACAAATTTTTCCAGTAAACCTCTAAGTTTATTTTAATCAAAACTCACAGACAAATCATCTTATCACTGGTGACCAGAGAGAAGAGACCAAGATCCATTAGAGGCTAGCAGAGCTTCTTGCTTTGTGATCACAATTATTTTGCTGTTATTTTGTACTTTCTTGCTCCTATTTTTCTGCTTATTTACCTCTCACATATATTCAAAAACTGTACTTTTGAAATTCCCAGGAAAAACCAGTGTTTACTGGTCATTTCTTCTGTGGCCCCAGTGATGGGACTCTCATTGCTCTTGGGCCAGAGAGTCTTTCAGTGCTGTGAATTCAGAATTATCCTGTAATAATTCTGCAAAACTCAAGTCAGTAGACACAGTGATCTAAAAGCCTTGATTCCCATGTTAGTATAAATCCAGAGTGGCTCTATTGGTATTTACATATTTGCATTGTCATTTTAACTCCTGAAGCCTTGAGTGAGGTGAAACCAGTATTTTTAACCCTAAGAATCAAGCAAACTTCCTACCAGGAAAGCAGGACTAGTCCCACTGCAGGGAATAGATGTTTAAGTGTTTGAGCATTCATTTCATCAAGGCAAATAGCTCATTTTCCCAAACTAA